TAACCATGAAAATCTTGTCTCTCGATTGAATGCATTCCTCTTGTAATGTTCCTCCCTCATTCTTTCTGTTTTGCTAACGGGGTCTTCTTGGTTGTAGGGATTGTTCTGGATGAGAGCCACCTCATATCAAGTGCCTCGAGGCAAGGGCGCAAAATTCAGGCGCTTGCAGCTCGCAATCGTTGGTGCCTGACGGGCACGCCCGTGCAGCGACGAGTGTTGCCAGATTTGGCGCCTCAATTCTCCTTTTTGCGCGTGCCCTTTGACCCCAACTATGGGGCACGCATGTCAGCTGGCTTACTGTTTGGGTTTGGACCCCGATTCCGAAGCCATTGCGATAACCTCATCCAGCCCGTCTTGCTCCGCGTAATGGTCCGCCACACGCTGAACCAGGCGCTCGAGGGTCAGCCCATTCTTGAGTTGCCACCAATCTCCGCCCACACGGTGATGGTAGATTTTTCGCCAGGTACGCCAGCGCAGTGAATGATGGGCCTCTACGAATGCACGCGAAGCACTCAAATGTCATCTTCATGTCCCATTGCCATACAGCGGAACGTGCAGCCTACGACCAGCTAGCGGCCGATTTGGAGGCCCGATACGCGGTCTATCGCGAAAAGGGGAGCGTCTGCGTCACGCGTCTGGCCGTGCAGCTGAGTCACCTCACTTTGCCTCTACGACGAGCCTGCGCCGGCGCGCTGGTAGCAGCACGAAGCCCCCTGTCATCGTTTGAATCCTATCTCAAGCGACTGGACTCGTTTACTGATGTCTTACAGCAGCGCTCCAGGGACTTGGACAAGCTCAAATTCAGCCAAAGAGAACTGCAAGAAGACAACTGCCCAATTTGCTTGGATGTCAAGGAGCAGCCTGTGGAGACCCCTTGCCATCACCAGTTTTGCTTCGTGTGCATTACAAGCCTTGTTGGCTCTGGCATCGAGCCCACCTCTCCTTGTCCCTTGTGCCGTCGGCCCATCAAGTTGAATGGACTCAAGCGGCTGGCTACGGCAGCTGACCAAAGCGATGAAGCTGCGAGTGGCGATGCACCCGGCGCCAAGCGGGCCAAGACCGCTGTGGCCAAAGTTTTGTTTGACAGCAAGATCCAGGCACTGTTGATGACGCTGGATGCTATCTGGGCCCGCGAGCCCCTGGCCAAGGTCTGTCGGGCCGCACCAAGGCTTGTCGGTGACACCTCCGCAGGAATGGACAGCAGGCTCTGTGCCATACACCTGTGGATCGATTACTTGTTTGTTTGTTTGTTTGTTTGTTTTTGCGCTTGGGCTTGACTCGAGATGGCATTGATATCACCGTTGCGTTGCATAGGTGCTAGTATTTTCACAATTCTCCAACACGTTGACAATGGTGGGGGAACGCTTGAAGCGGCGTCACCTCAAATTTGCCACGCTAGTGGGGAGCATGGAACGCACACAGCGTACAAATGCGCTTGCTGGCTTTGCCAAGGACCCGAGCACCAACGTGTTTCTTCTTTCCACGCGCGCTGGTGCTGTGGGCATCAATTTGACCGAGGCCAATCATGTCGTTCTTATGGATCCGGTATGTCTCAGGCGGCAGTGAGGGAGTGACTGCTGAATTGGACTGTAGATATCGTCTAACCGTGGATGCGTGCCCCTCCGCAGTGTGTTAATCCTGCAACTGAGCAGCAAGCCATTGGTCGCGTCCATAGGTCAGTAAAGACAGCCCTCTCTGGATTGGGTTCCGGGCCTGTGATTGACCAACTCTGGCGTGTTCTTTTTCTTTCTCTCGTTGGCCATTCTTTTGACATCATTTTTTTCTCATCTCGCTGCCCGCATGCCGGCTGGAACAGATTGGGTCAGACCCGGCCAGTACACGTACATCGGCTGCTGATGCGACACAGCATTGACACGCGGATCGCACGGTTGCGCTGTGGAACGCGCACTTCGGCTCAATCTGAGTATGATCAACTGCTATGGCCCCCGACTACGGCGTACACAGACGACGACGAGACAGCAGCTGGTGAACGCCTCGAACAGGACGTGGCCGCTTCGTCGCGGGGAGGCTTGGAGGAGATGAAGGATGAAGACTTGACGCCAAAGCCGGACGATCCAGAGTCCGAAGAAGCCACGCCCGAAAATCAAGAGACGCGCCAGCTTTTGCAGGCCGTACCACCGTCCGAATCCGGATCCTCCTCTTCCGAAGATTAATTGGCTTGCGTTGTCATGTGAAGCTGCATGTGCATTATCTGGCTTCACATGGATAACGTAAATCATGTCCGAATCGAATCAAACTTCATGTTTCAAAGTGCTATTGGTGCTGCGAGCACAGAAAAAAAAAAATGGGGGTGGGGCAAGTTTGAGGCGAACTTCGAAACCTCACATGCGACCAAGGCACCAAGTTGACGCCATTCAGATTGAAAGAAAGCAAAAATATTAAGCTCTCCGACTGGGAATCGAACCCAGGTCTCCTGCGTGACAGGCAGGGATACTAGCCACTATACTATCGGAGATGATCTGACAGAGTCTCTCATAAGTTTATATATAAACGAATATTTCAGATTTAACGCTGTAAATGTCAGATTTTGTGCTGCAAGGGGGTTGTAATCAGATGACTCGTCTGCTCTGGCTTTTCCGTCTTGGCTCGTGACCAGCCCCCCACTGCTCACCTCCTCTAGCAGCAGCAGGCAGACATGGCGTCGCATCCCGTGACCACGATTGATCCAAAGGTGAGAATGCAGCGTGCTTTTACTCGGAAGTATGTGTGTGTGGGGGGGGGAGGGGGTGGGAGCGTGTTGATTTGTGTGTTGTTGAACCGGGAACGTGGAGCCTTTCCAGAATTATTGACAGCGTCCTGTTGGCGGCCCCCTTTGCTCGTGGCGCAGGATACGGATACGTTCAAGCAACTGGGCCATGCTTGGTGGGACAGGAGCGCGGAAATGTACCCGCTCCACCATCTGAACCCAGCTCGCCTGGCATACATTGCACGCAAGATCTGTGAGCACCACGAGCGCAGTACGACACACATTCAGGAAGCCATTGATGCCTACTACGCCGACTTGAAGGGTTGGTTTGAGCACGCGCGCCAGTACAACCGGCGTCCCACCCACGCTTTACGCACACCTTGACTAGGTACACGTCTCGTGTTTGCTTGTTTTTATCTGCTGCGCAGAGCTCGAGGGAAAAGGTCTCAAGTATACGGACCAAGCACAGACGGCACTTGTGCAACCGCGGCTACCGGCCGCCCATCGCCCTTTGGCCGGAATCAGCGTGTTGGACATTGGTTGTGGAGGTGGCATTCTGTCCGAGTCGATGGCCTACCTCGGTATGTCTAGATCCCCGTCTTTCCCCGCCTATCCTGCGTTCACAGTTTGACCTGAGCGGCTGCCACCTGGTGTGATTCAGGCGCCGAGGTCAAAGGCATTGATTCCGTGGGTGAAGCACTTCCCATTGCTCGCGTACATGCTCGCGCCATGGGGCTCTCCGTCGACTATGAGCAAGTGAGTGGTGCTCATTCAAGTGCCCACCCTTGATCGTGGCACCCTGGAGTGGCTCGTGATTCCATTCCTCGCTGCTCCGTGGTGTCTTTATCCTACCATTCTGGCCCGGGTCTTTACTTGCGGGTTAATTAACATGCATCTGCTTTGGGTAGGTAACTGCAGAGGCCTTGGCGGCGCGTGGTGCCCAGTACGACGTGGTCTTGGTCATGGAGGTGATTGAGCACGTGGCCAACGTGCCGGTATTTGTGGATGCCATGGTGCAGCTGACCAAGTCGCGCGAAATGCTGATTTTGTCAACGCCCAACCGCAACTGGTTGAGCTGGCTCATTGTCATTTTTGCAGCCGAGGATGTCCTGGGCCTCATTCCCAAAGGCATGCATACTTACTCCCAGTTTATCCGACCCGAGGAGCTGCTGCAGCTTACCGCACCTCGTGGCCTCACGGCGATTGATCGCCAAGGCTTTGTTCTCGACGTCTTCCGGTGGCGATGGTTTGTCTTGCCCTTTGACTGGGTCGACTACATTGTTACCTTTATCAAGAATCCCCAGTGACCAGTCAATTCATCATCGCCCGTCTCCTTAACATGTAAATTTTTGTATCGTCAAGAAATGGCTCTTCATTTTCAGAACGCGAAAGCAGTCAAATGTTGTAATACTCCAAAAAAAGGATTCACATGTCAATTCACACTCTGAAAATTGCGGACACACACACACACACACACACACACACACACACACACACACACACACACACACACACACACACACACACAAAAGAGGGCGCGATCGAATTTCAGCAAGAGAGGTTGGGCAGAGCCCCCTTCTCATCATCTAACCTGTGAGCCCCGCGCTGCTCCCAATCGCTCACGTTCTGCTCCCTATCGCTCACGTTCTGCTCCTCTTGATCGACGAGTCAGGCAGGCATTCAGACGGTGCATCCGTCAGGGATGGAAGGATAGGGCAGGGAGCTTCTTATGAGAGGCCCATAAGCTCGGGAAAGCACACACACACACACACACACTCTCTCTCTCTCTCTCTCTCTCATGCCTCTCCGGCGCGCGTGTGTGAGCACACGCGGTGGAATACGGTTGCGAAATTTTAAGCCCCCTTTCCCTCTCAACCCGTCAAACTCGTGCTCCCTACTTGCCCATTCTCTGTTCCTCGAGACATCTGTGATGCCTTTGCATGCCTCACATCGCACCAGCTGTGATGCTTCGCCTGTCAAAACGGCGCAACACCCTCGCCATGATGCCATGCCGTTGGATTGGGACACCGCATTCTTTCAGAGCTTCCACGCAAGCCCCCACCCTTCCCACCTTCAAGCATGCTGCCCCTTTCCCAGGCTCCTTCTCGTTGTCTCCCGCTGCCGGCGCTCTAAGAGAGTCATTTTTCTCTCTTCCCGCCACGTAGCCCACCGTGCACGCCCAAACGCCGTCTGTGCCACGCCGCCCACGCCGCCCACGCCGCCCTGCCCCTGCTCAAGCCTGCTGGCTGCCGTTGCAATCACTTACGCGAGTTGCGCATCGCGATCGCGGTCATGAGCGAGACCCCTTTGTCCTCTGCAAGCCCTGGCTCGAACGCCATCGCCGCCTTGGCTGAGCAGCAAACCGTCGTCGACCGCCTTCATGCCGCCGTGGCCAATCTACCACCTCCACGCCAGTCCCTGCTGGTCGAACCCGTCCTTGAACAACTGCCTTTGGTTCCTCAAGGCCCCGTGGACAACCTTGACAACCTTGATGCGCCGGCTCAGCACGCGCTGCCTCTCTTGCCCATAACGTCGACCGGATCCTTGGACCCTCTCCAAGTGCTCAGCTCGCGTGTAGGGCCACCATCGGTTCTTGATACCGACCATCTCACCCAAAAGCAGGACCTGGTGCTGGAGGATGGCTTGGGTAGCAAGAATTCGCCACACCTCATCAAAGACAAGGCAAAGGACAGCTCTCGAGATCCGACAGAACAGCATGCTCACTTCAATGTGGAGCTGGTCGAGACGCCCGCGCCCGCGGGCAGCCGTTCCCGCATGTGGTCGTTCTTGTTCCTGTTTGCGCTGTTTGCCGGTATGTCTTTGCCCCCCCAATCTATCTGCTTCTCGCTGGTCGACACCCTCCACGTTGATCGGCTAGTGCTCAGTCTTGAACGAACCAATGCTCATTTGCTTTGACAGGCTGTCAGTCAATTTTTCTGCGCCTCTCCTCGATTGTGGCTCCTTCGACCGTGGTTAGCAATGGCAGCTACCTCCTAGTATTCATGCTTGGCGATGGCACAGCACTGCTTGCCTTTGCGCTTCGCACCTTTGCCTTTAAGATCCATTGGCAAAGCGTGCTTCCACGCCGTGCCGGAGCGGGCGCAGCCGCAGGCATGCTCAACGCCATTGGCATCGTGGGCTTTACCATGCTCAATGCTGATGGTGGCGAAGCTTCGCTGCTGGCCCCGCTCACGTCCCTGAACCTGGTGGTACCAGTAATCTTTGGCTTCCTGGCCTTTGGAGACCGTGCAACACTGCGCAAGCTTGCGGGCATTGTGCTCGGTGTTGGCGCGACGATGATGTTTGCCTTTGGGGGGGGATCATCCTTCAGCTTTAGTGACATGTCCACCCTGACCTACTTTTTCATCGTCTTCTTTGGGTGGGGTTTCACCACCACCCTTTTTCAGTTGATATCCCTTCTTCCTGCCAACGACCTGGCGGCTGCCTACGTGAGCAGCGTCGTGGCCTTTACCGTGACGGGAATTGTGGCGGCTGTGAGCATCTTTGGCCAAGTGGACCTGACCAACTTTGATTGGGCGCACATCATGCTGCTTCTGGCTGGGGCGTGCCATGGCATTGCCAACGCATGCTTTGTCTATCTGTCTCAAGCCATGCCGTCCGAGGCTTCGGTCGTGGCACCTCTGTCATCGCTCAACATTGTCCTCCCCGTGGCCGTGGGCATGATTGCACTTGGCGAAGAGGTCACTGCGCTCAAAATCGTTGGGTCCATCCTGGCCGTCGTGGCCGTGCTCATGATGGGTGTGTCGGACCTGACAGAGCTGGTGGCTAGCCTCAACTGTTGTTGTCGCACGTCGAAAGACACGACCCAGCACATGATCCCAGCGGTGGTGGATGATGAAGGTCATGTCGTGGTTGAATTGCAATGGCGGGACCTAGACTGGGATGACACAATGCACTTTAGCGTGAACAAACCAGAACACGAGCTGGAGGCCGCTGTTGCTGCTGCGCTTGACGCTGACGACGTGGAGGAGGAAACTGCTCACTTGAGCGCCCTCCCCCTGATGGCCGGTGCACCCGTTCTTCCCAGCCCTACCGATATGGTATAACGATTCAGATGGTGTCGAGGCCTCGTGTGTGCTCGCCTGGTAGCACTGTTTGCATTGGACTCTGCGAGTCAAGGCCGTGTCCCGATGTTGTGGCAATCTACATTTTGATCACCCATTGCGTGTCTTTTTGTATACCATCATCAGCAAAGTCAATGTCATGCGCCAAACCAACCACAACCGCTGCCGTTTCCCATTTCATTTTACATCTCCACTCAACAGGAACAAAAAGAAGAAAAAAAAGGAGTGACATTGTGCCTTTTTACAACACCTGACTGCAAAATGCATGCAAGTAAGCACGTGCTGTGTCCAAATCTTGCTGTAATGCAAGTGTATCCTTGTTCGAATTGATGCAACGTCAATTCAAAATAGGAAATCCAACGTTGTAAAGTCCTCTTTCTCTCTCTCAAACTCTCTCTCTCTCAAACTCTCTCTCTCTCAAACTCTCTCTCTCTCAAACTCTCTCTCTCTCAAACTCTCTCTCTCTCAAACTCTCTCTCACGCCCTCGCTCTCTCTTCAACTCTTCTCTCTCTCATGCCCTCGCTCTCTCTCTCTCTCTCTCTCTCTCTGTTCAACGGTATGCACGCTTTCGTGGAGGTTATCGCGTGGCATGATTAAGGACACTCGTGTACACAACACAGCATTATTGATTTGGTTCTTGGTTCTTGCAGCAGAGGCAGCGTGCCGTCCTCGATTTGCTGCAACCTCCACCCAGCTACCGACGACATGTACTTGGCACAATTCACAACAATATCCCCATGTGCTGTGCCGCTTCAGTCCGTTGCGCCCTTTTGAAATAAATACACACACACACACACACACACACACACACACACATAAGCATGTCGCGAGCCCCCCACGCGCGTCCACGGGTGGGCGCGCACACCACATGATACAGAGAGCCTCAAGTTTAAAGACGCACACAAACACGAGCGCGCTCTTGTTATCTGGGGGAGGGGGCCGTGGAGTGGCTGGAGAGCTGTCGCATTTTTTAAACCTTTTGCTCTTCCTCCTGCCAACCACCCCTGCAGCAGCAGCAGCAGCAGCAGCAGCAGCAAATGAAGTTTGACAACTAACTAGCAACACACTTGGTGAGTTGCCCGCCTACTATCTCACCAATCAACGCCGCCTGCCTTTGACCTCACATATGACGCCACCGTTCTCTTGTCGCCTGCACACCTTTGCCTCGCTCTAGAGTTGCCGGGCAGGCGGCCGCGCCATACGGGCAGATTCCGACTCCTTTCCGACCCGCGCTTCCTCCTCAGACCTTTACCAATGGCAGACGCACCACCCCCTCTGACTCCAGAGGCCAATGAGGCGCCACATGCGACTACTGCAAATCCCAGCACCCCTACTCCTGCCAATCCCAGCACCACTACTACTCCTGCCGATGAGATCGCGAATGCACCCTCAACCTCGACCTCGACCTCGCGCCGTCGCCCCACCCTCACCACCATTCTCGATGCATCGTTTCCGGGGCCAGCCAGCCCGACCAGCGATGCATTGGCACAAGACCCTCTCACTCGGGTCCGCAACCTTGCTGATACCGGTGTCATGCGCCGCACGTCCTTGCTACCCGACATTTCTCGTATGGGATCTGTTGTTCCAACCATCCTGGCGCCAGGAAATATTGAGCAAGCCCTCATCATGGACGACAAATCCAAGACCGCTGAAAAGCCTAAACAACTTTCAAACAGCACCAGCACCTCGCAAGACAGCGGTGTCGAGTTTGACCAAGCGCTCGAGGGCGTGCACGTGGAAATTGCCATCCCAGACCCCACTTCCAACAGCGGCGCGGGCCGCATGTGGTTCTGCCTTTTTCTCTATGCTCTCTTTGCTTGTACGTAACTATTACAACAGGCTCGCTTCCTGGTTCGCATATCCCGAAGCACATGGATGGCTTGACCTCACCTCACATTCTTTCGGGCTGTCACACCCCTAGCCTGCAACTCCATTCTGCTTCGCACATCCAACATCGTCGACAAGCACGTGGAAGTCTCCAGCGGCACATACATTTGCCTCTACTACATGGGCGACGCTTGCTCCCTTCTGACATTTGCCTCTGTCAACTTTGGCCCACGAATTGCCGGGCACTGGGGCGAACTGCGGCTCTACAACCACGTCATTGGCGCCCTGGCCGGCCTCACCAATGCCATGGGCATTGTTGGTTTTACCATGCTAAACGCCAACGACGGTGAAGCCTCGCTTCTGGCCCCACTAGCCTCCCTTTACGTTATCGTCCCCATCGTCGCCGGATTCCTCTGCCTTGGCGATCGCCTCACCAAGCAAAAGGCACTGGGCATCGGGCTGGGCCTCGGCGCAACCATGATGTTTGCCTTTGGCGGTGGCTCAAGCTTTGATCTCGGGGAGACTCGCACCTTGCTCTTCTTCTTCATCACCATTGCTGGCTGGGGGTTGACCACGCCCTTGCTCCAAATGCTGGCCGTTTTCACCGAAGTCAACATGGCCTTTAGCTACTGTAGCAGCGTGGTCTGGTTTGTGGCTGGTGGCTTCTTCTCCGCCTTTGTTATCTTTGGCGATGTGTCTTTGGCTGGCTTTGGCGCCACCCACGTCTTGATCATGGCTGCTGGCGCTTGCCATGGCCTGGGCAATGGTAGTTTTGTCTATCTTTCCCAAGCCATGCCAGACAAGGCAGCTATCGTGGCCCCGCTGAGTAGCCTCTACGTGCTCATCCCCGTGATTGTGGGTATGGTTTTCCTGGACGAAGCTGTGACCGCCCTCAAGATTGTGGGTGCCATTTGCACCGTTGCCGGTGCTCTTCTGATGGGTGTCGACGACTTGGTCAGCTTTTGGAAGCTGCTGTGCGGAGGCGAGGTCGGCGAAACTGTCACGGGGCCTGTCGTTGTGGACGACGAAGGCCACGTTGTCATGCAGCTGGACTGGAAGGACGTCACCTGGGATGACAACATGCATCTGGCACTCAACCCCGATAAGGAGACGCTTCGCGAGGTTCAACACGCCGTCGAGTTGGTGCACGAGCACGAGCATGAGAACGAGCATGCGGACCACCCGCCTCTGGTGCTGGGTATGCCTGTCCTTGTGCGGACACCGCACACTAGCAACCTGCGCGCCACTTTTCTGTAGTTCTTCCTTGAGTTAGTCTGTCAGAAGAAGAAAAAAATTGGTCGCGAGCAGAATGCGCAGCCAGTCTGAGAAGCACAACGGCCAGCCGTCGAAAATAGCGTGTAAAGAGCAAGAGTGCTCAGTGCCGCCCTCTATACCCGTGGTGATACCCGATGCCATGAGGGACGAGAGCGAGCGAGATTCCAGAGACCAGAGACCAGATCAATGGGTAATGTCATCTAATTGAATCCTTGAATCATCTGGACAATGCTTCTCGGCATCACACCAGCGTTGGCCAAGGAAGGAAAGGACAAGGAGAAAAGTAATACAAGTGGGGAGGCCAAGACGCAGATCAAGCTGCTGGTGTCAAGCCCACGGCCCGAAACAACGTCAAAGATACCGGCCAAGAGCGCGCAGCGTGGCTGGTATGAAAAGAAAAAAAATTGTCGCGGCGGCAAGCCAAATTTGACGCCGCCTTCGGTAAAGTGAAAGGAGCAGAGCACAAGGGGACTTTCAACCCACTGCGCCCTAGTTGCCCGGAAAATCAGCAAAGAGGTTGCATGGCAGTGTGACTGCACATCTAGACAATTTGGGGCACCGTTAGCGGCGTGGTAGGCGCGACGTAAGAGTCTGTGTTGTAAAACTTCTCGTTCACGTCCCAGCCCTAAGAGGATGTGTGTCATCATGGGCAGGAGCAGGCACGCCATTCATGAGACGGATTCGCAACGTGAGGAAGCGCAGAGCACACAGCCGTGGAATAGGCTAAGATGAGGTCAGCCCACACGATCGGACAAAGCTTTGACCACCAAACACCGCACCTTGTGGTTGGCCATGATCTTGCGCTCGGCTTCGGTGATCTGAGCACGACGGCGAACCATCCTGTCGAAGTGGGTAGCCAAGTGTTTATAATAAGCGACGTGAGAAGTGGCACCGCATGGAAGGAGGAACACAGGATAGGGCAAAATTGGAGAGTCGCTTGTAAATTCCTCCCTTCCTGGCGGTGCCGCAGAGCGGTGACGTACAGTCGGTCGGCTTCCGCCTCGAGCACAGGAGCAATAGCAATGCGAGCGTTGAGCTTCTCCTCTCCAAGACGCCTACAGACAGCACATCCACGCGAGGAAACCCAGCACAGATGCACGTGAGAAAGAAGCGCACATCCAAGCGCTCCGTCTGCTACTACCGAGACCCTTGCTCGCGTACAGCGCCTGCGCGCAAAGTGCCAAAGATGCTGACCTCCTAGCCTGGTTGCCCTGAATGACCTTGTAGAAGCCGTATGCCATGACGCCAATGGCCCCAGCAAACAGAACCGCACCGTGGGGGCCACGGTAAGGCACGTTGCGCTTGTAAGGCACGGACGTGTAGCCACCAGCCGGCGGCATATCCTGCAAAACCTGCTTGGCTGCCATTCTCAGAGGTCGGCGCACAAAAAAAAAAAAAAAAGAGAAAGAGCTGCCGTCGGTCGACCTGAGAACATGTATCAGCTACAGTGCTTTTTTGACCATAAAACTATACACATATCCACTCTCTAAGCATCACGCTTGGTAGTCGATGTCAGATGGAAAAGGTGAGATTGATGTTTAGTATTTTACTTTCCGGCTGATGATTTAAGAGAGATGCCTTGAACGCCATAAGTGCGCGAAAGACTTTGGTCCCCATACGTTATAGTCAATCAGCACCACACACTGGTTGCTTGTTGTTCGAGACTTATCTCGCTGCCGCCGGCCAGGTGTAAAGCGTCGCCTGATTGACGCCTGGCACCTCCCTTGTTTTGCTGCCACGGCATGCCCGTGAACACCTGTATGAGCCCTTTCTGATATCGCGCAAGGAGACAAGTCTTTGCGTAGCTCCATGCGATGACGACAAGGACCTCGGAGGATCATTCGGTTCATTCTTATTTGTACATCTATCTTCGTTGGCTTCGTTCTTAGCTGTACCCCTCGCCCTCATAGGTAACAAGTCCACCGTGTATCACGCCGTTCGCAGCCGCTTTAGACACTGGCGCTGCCATTTGACATACCATTCTAAGCCATATGGCCTCTGAAAACAAGTAGAGGCGTGAGGCTCATTTTCTTCACATGTTTAGCACATCATGAATCGACGAGAAGGATGTTCGTGGCGAGTCCTGCGAAATGTATTGAGTGAATGAGGGGGCGATTAAAAAACTGGGCAAGCTGAGTGCGGCTGCGAGGCTGTGCGGCTGCCATGTCTGGCGATGAGAGGGGAGAGAGGCGACATAAATACGTCGCTCGAATTGGTTTGGTTTGAGCAGAGAATGAGATTTCAATAATTTTATTTTGAGGCGTTTGTAATTTAATTTGAAGGGTCCTACGCCCAAGGGAGCCAAATCCTTGTGGGCGTCAACTGGTCGCGGCATCGGCGGATGGATGAGGTGGGGCTGGCGGCAAGCCGGGCTCTGCTCTGATTTGCTGTGGGGGAAGAAGGGGCGTTGCGAGGTGGAGTGGCTTTGCACAGGGGGCAAGTGTCTCGGGACATCGGCCATGGCTGCCACTTTTATCAACAATGACAATGAGAAGGTTCGAGTTTGCGTCCATGTCACGCGCGCCCCCTTCCCGCGATAACGCCTGGCCGACCCAGACTCATGAACCCGGTGTGTGCTGCACAGATCTCAGCCATTGTCTACCTGGCTGATGGACAACAGTGTCGATGCGTGCGCGTTCCGGCTGCTGGAACCATTCGCGACCTGATTGCCGGCATGCTCAAGGTTCCCATTTTTCGCCTGCTGTGTCTGATCTGAGTTGAGCGCACCGCGCGTCGGCTCGGTTGAGGCCCAAATGTCCTCCTCAACTCATGCCGACGGCATGCAACGTGACAGGTGCAAAGTGATTGGAACGCCATTGGCGCAGATAAATCAGCTGCTGCCCCATGTACGTACCTGCCCAGCTCCAATCCGAGGCGACTCTGGACACGCTCACGACGCATCTTCCCCCCCCCTCCCCCCCCCCACACACACACACACCCGGCCACAGCATCCTCGCCAGACGACTATGGCATCGTTAAAGTTCAACGCTCCTTGGGAGGTCTGGATTACAGCTCTTGCTCTTCTTGTTGTTTCGATTGGATGCATGAGGTGCCTTGAGCTGATGACCACCCGTACTCGTCGCATCCAGAGGAGGTAGCCACGGAGCAGTTTCTGGACAACAGCCTTACACTGCAAAGCAAAGAGCTGCGCGCTGTGCGCCGCAATTGGGAGGCCACCATGCTGCGCCAAATGTATGAGCCACTACTCGAATGTTCCCGTTGGTACAGCGAGGCATGGCCCACCCGCTAGCCCCTGACGAATACGCTGCTCGCGCCCATAGTCGTAAGCAGTTCTCCGGTGGCTTCGGCAACAAAGTGGTAAGCACCGGCAATGTTCGCCGCCAGAGCCGTGCACAGCGCCGCAACACGGCCAGCAAGACTGCTCGCCAACAAACGGCCTCGGATGAGTATTGGTTTGTGAGCCCCTTCCCCAAGCGGCCCACCAAGGACGAGGTGCGGGTCAAGTTTGTTAGCCGAGCAGCCTACAAGGTTAGCAAGGGCAAGCAGGGTTGGGTGGTCATCAAGGAGCTACGCAAAAAGTCTCGATGGGTGGTCTACGAAGAAGACACCTTGCTGATATACAAGGACGCCGAGGATGAAACGCCCGCCATGCGAATCGACGATGTGGCTAGCGGTGAGCTGGTCATCAAAAAGAGCAAAAAGGAGGCGGTAACCATACAGATGAAGTGGGGCAAAACCAAGCTGACCATGATCTGTGAGACGGAAGTGGTACGTCGTTTTGGTCCTTGGGTCAGAAGAAACTGTGGAACCCCAACCCCCAACCCCCTGCTCCAGTGAGCAAGGGGCGGCAGCGGCGCTTGAACAAACCTGGGTACTCTCAACTTTGGTGTGCCCTGCACGGCCTGATTGTTTTCTTGCTTCCGCTTAGATGGCTGATCGGTGGGTTGCTGCGCTGCGTCAGGGCAGAAGCGGTCTGGACCCCGAAGCCGGTACGTCCCGTACCCTCCTGCTTAGTCTTTGGCACGCCATTCTGTTGCGTAGGTGGTAACTGAAGCGCACATCATGTGTCCATAGCCACACAACTGGAGCTCAAGTCTGAGGTCGTTGATATGATCCCAGAGCTCACGTACGTGTCCGTGGCTGGCGCCAGAGGCGTCGTGTCCCGCATGCTGTCGCTGTCTGTTTTGCCTTGCTTTGACAGCGTTGTGCCGTTTGTTCCTGACCGACGGGTGGTATCGGCTTGGTGTTGCGGCTCGCTAGGGAGGAAGAGGAGGAGGCTGAGATTCGCGCTGCGTTGGCCATGCGTCTCTTGATGCAGAAGAGTCGGGGTGCTGGACAATGCGTTGCCGACGAAGGTGCAGCTGTGGTTCTCGACTTGCTGGCGTGCGGGTGCTGATCTCCAGCTGGCTCGCTCACTGGTGCGGCACACCTTGCATGTCTGGCTGCTAGATGCCTACATCACGTTGTCAGAAATGGAGGCGTATGCAGACGAAGAAGGCGGCGAAGATGACAGTCAGTGCATATTTTCTCCTTTCTTCCGCCTCGCCGTTCCGGGCCGCCTGTTGGTCTCGAGCAGAGTGCTGTTTCCTTGTTCTTCCTCTACCCTTGCCTCCTTCCCGTCTCCTTCGTTTCCTTGCTGCGCCCGTTTTGCTCATTCATCACCTCCGTTTGATGCCCGTGTTTGCTAGCATACCTCACCGTGGATGACATGGACTACATCATGGTTAACCGCGAGGGTGGGTTTTAATCTCTCGCTCCGTCGTCGCCTTTGGTGGTGTTGCGTCGTGGTATGGCCTGACCGTGACTGATGAATGGATGCGTGTTGGTCATGATCGACAGGTGATTACTTGACCATTGATGCCATGCGCACGCTGGCGCAAGAGGCTGGCTACTTGACGGTTGACGATATGCAGCGCCTGGCCAAACCAGACGGTACGGCCCTCTGCGCTGTGGCCCTCGATCCCCCCGTTGCTGCGGCTCGCTGTTCGACCGTGCCAGCACTGACCGTTTCACTCTCTTACATGTATGGGTGCGTGGTGGGTGTGCAATGAAACACAGGCGAGTATTTGACGATTGCAGACATGCAACGGTTGGCGTCAGATGCCGGATACATCAGCGCAGCAGACTTGCGCGAGCAGTTGGCAGCTGATGCCGGTTACCTGAGTGCTAATGAACTCCGTGCTCAGATGGCGGCCTCCTGATATGCGTGGAACTTTGGCCGGTGGTTGACGCGCTCCATGCTCCAGTTTTGTCTCTGTTCCTGATTTCAAATAGTAACTGACTTTGCACACGCCACCGGCGCGATCATTTTTCTCGAAATTTAAGGGTAATTTTTGTCTGTTTTTCGTCATTTGGTGAATTTTCGATTCTTGTCACTGAGGGTCCGGGTTGTTGGGGTAGCGTTGTGCTGATAGCCGGCCTGCTTGGCCGAAGGGTGTGCGTGTGTGGGTTAGGGATAGGCACGCTGTCTTAGCATCAGTCTGCCGGTGACAAGCCACCCGAACCAGCAGAGCCCAGCCTTCGGCCATAAAGGTTTTAAAGTTCATCGATGAAGCACCTTGTTTGTGCCGAATGGCATCCAGTGCAACGACATGAACGGGGCTTCACTTTGAGCAGCTCACTAAGGCGCCCGCCAGTCGCTGCACGCCGTTCTGTGCCAAGCAATAAAAGTAGGTTGCTTTCAAGCATCGCAAGTGTGCAAACTGTTTATGGCCGGGGTAGTGCGTGACTAAAGACAAACATGTTTGTTGTGGGAGCGTTGGGACACAGAATCAAACAAAACTAACAGTAAATTTTGTTTTGATTTGACGAAACGCGATCTGGATCTGCACCAGGTTTGCGTGCGGATGTATTAAAAAGACCTCTTCTTGCTGCAAAGGGTCTAGCTCTGTGCTCCCACACGCTAGCGCTTTCCTTCCCCTTCCTCTCCCTCCCACCTCCTCGCACCTCGCCATGGCGTTTGCGCCGGTTTTTGATGTAAACCTGGAGGAAAAGTGGGACAATGTCTGCGTCATCAGCACGGAGGAGAAGCTGGGCCTTGGCTTCTACCTCGGCAATGGCGCCGTTGCCACGGCCGCGCACGTCGTGTATACGGCCGCCGACGCAAAGGCGGCCGTGTTCAACTTTCCCCTCCTGAGCCAGAAACAGGATGAGGAGTTTGTCTTTGGCGACGGCATTGAGCGAATCGGCTTTGTTTACGAGCTTCAGGTTCAGCAGGCAGATTCACCAACCCCGGTTGAGGCAACGGCCGACGTGGCTATCCTTCGCCTCGGCGAACAGGCTGGCTACGGTGGAACTTCGTACGGCGATAAACTCGAGATGGAGCTGACCAAGTCAATGCCCAACGTGAAAGTGGACATGGGGAAGGCCGACAAGCCGTGCGCGGTGAACCAGAAGCTTTACTGCCTCAGCATTATTGACGGCGAGTATACTCCTGTCGAGCTTGAGGTGTTAGAAATTATCAACGCGGACAACCACAAAGTGCTTCGCTGCCAGGGTGTCGTGTCTCCCGGCGCTAGCGGTGGTCCCGCGCTGGATGAGCAGGGCTCTTGTGCCGGCATAGTCTACTGGTCCGACGAAACGCAAAACGCCACGTTCGTGACTGTGCTGCTGGGTGAAGCCCTCAATCACACTCAATTGCTGTCAGCTGAGATTAGTGCGTATGCTTTCTGGGCCAGCATGAAAGTGGAAGATCGCGCCGAAGGCAATGCCAAGGAATTGAAGAAGGTGTGCGAGGAACATCACCTCAAGTTTTTCAGCTTTCCTCAGTGGTGCAAGGACTTATATGATAAGGTGCCGAGCGGGCACGAAGAAGAAGCAGCAGTGCCTCAGCGAGTGGCATTTCAAAGCTTCGCACATCTGCTCACCCGCTTGAAGGAGCTCAAGCTCACGGTAGAGAGCATCACCGACACTGTCAAGTCTTATGCTAATAAGTCTAGCGCTTTTCTCTACAAAGGCCAGACCGGCGACGGGCATGGTGACTATCGGCCGGAGCTGGCGCTTGTTGTCACCATCGACAATAAGAAACTGAAGGAGCGCAAGAAGAAGTCGTTCAAGGTCCTCGTCATGGTGCACGTGCACCTAACAACGTTTGACTACAAAAAGTTTACCGTCTCTGCCCTCAATTTCCGCCATGCCGAGCTCCGCAGGACCATCAAAGGCCAGACAGTATCAGAATCGGATTACTCAAACAACGTGACCAGCATTGACTGGGAGCATTTCCAAGACGAGAGCGGCGCCAAGGCCAAATGGGCTTCTGGGACAACCCTGAATGAAACGCAGAGAAAAACTCTCAACACCTTGATGAAAGCTGTCATCATTGCCGTGAACGACTGTGAATTTCAGAATAAGGCAGGCTTCCATGAGATTGTGCACGAAACTACAGAAATCAACACACTGCTATGCAACCCTGCTGATGATGCTTGCCTGCGCCATATTGAGCAAATTGCCAAGACTGCAATGACAAAAATCGACGAAATGTCTCAAAACAATTGCCGTGTCGTCAAGCAGACCGCCACCGCTGCCAAGGAGGCCGCTGAATCTGCCGTAGAGAACGCGGCGGATAAAAAGGCCGTTGCTGCCAAGGAAAATGCCGTCAAAGCCCATCGCCTCTCAAGCATCAACGATCCAGGCACCGCTAAGGATCCCCTGCCCATCGTTTGGAACGAGCTTTAGTTGTTGTTATCCGTGCTTTTGATTTATTCTTCCTGCCTCGTCTCGTTTGTTGTAGCGTTGGTGTGTCTTCGCCGCCTCGTTGTGTGTCAGCCCCTGACTAGCATAAAGTTTTAGCGTCAAATCCGTTCCTCCATGCATTTGGACCCTCCCACTGCTTTAGCGCTTACTTTGCGTCATCTCCACGATAACTTTACCACCCGAACCCCATAGCTGATTCGACTTGACTCCCTGACCAGAATACACACCTACACACCGACGGGGTTGGGACAGTGCGAGATGTACCATGGAAGCGCCGAGATAACCTTTTTTCAATTTTTCTCTAACAAACGGATGTGTAAGTCCACGGGTCTTTACAAACCCCTGAGAAAACGGGAGGCAGGGGCCACATCTCTCTAGCAGAGTCCGATAGACAGCTCCGTTGGACACGAGGTGAACGAGCTAGTTTGCTGTTGATCGTGCTCAAGCTGGCAATCCAGGCGCTGCCATTTCCGGACCATACACATCCGGGCCAAAACCAGGTGTACAGATTTTCATGTATAAGCAGAGGCAATGCTTTACCCCCAGAACAGCCTACTGATTTGAGCAACGGAGTTTCCAGCAATGCAAGGCTTGGTACGCCAAAGAAGGTCAATAGACACCATACATCCGGCTCGTCGCCTGGTAGCGACTCAAGGGGAGTGAAAACGTCATCTTGCCGCACGTTGCCCTTTAAATACTCAAGCTTGAAACCCAACGGGGTTAGGATAGGGCGTAGGCGTCAGGGTTACTTTAGGGTTACACGTTGACCAATACACTTTCCTTCGACATGATACATGGCAGTAGCACCATTATTATGGACGCTGAGCGTGTGCTCAATCAGTGGGAGTGCTCAAACATGTGGGAACACGGTTTTGACGTTAGCAACGGCATCAGTCGTGCATGCTTTTCTTTCTTTTTAACACCGTCTGACCCTCAGCCGAAGCGCCTCGCCTCGCTTAGCATTGATCCAAGTACGAAAATTATTATCACAAACTTTGCCAAATGCGTGAAGCTGACTAGTTTGGCAAAAAAAGCGTTGTTTATATATTTGTATTTCAACTCATCTGTCAGATCATCTCCGATAGTATAGTGGCTAGTATCCCTGCCTGTCACGCAGGAGACCTGGGTTCGATTCCCAGTCGGAGAGCTTAATATTTTTGCCCCTAGATACTTTATCTGACTTTTATTTTTGGATGATGACAACAAGTATTTTTGGCACCACGTCAGTTAACTTCGCCATTGTCTGACATCTGACAACGGACAGATGATGCCTTGAGCCCTTGAGCTGGGTGATGGAGTTGCACGTCGCGGCCTGAGCGGCATTTCCCGGTTTCGTGCTGGAGAGGATCGAGCTGGAGAGGGGGCAGGTGGCACATTTACCTTCTTTTACATGGTCACAGAGCACGCAAGCGAGTGCAGTTGAGCAGCAAGCACCGCAGTATCAAGGACAAGAGGTGTTTTTTGGGCGCCGCGCAGCCATCATGTTGGAGCTGTTTCTGCTCGTCGTGGTGGGCGTTGCGCTCTACTACTGGCTTCGTGGACAGCGCGGAAGCGCGGCAGCCGGGGATGCCAAGTATGCACGCTTCTGTATGTACCAATCAGTCCTTCTCGTCTGTGGGCTCGTTTGTGCATTGCCCTGAGTCGTTCATATCTTGTCTTCCCTCACTCACCCATGGCTGTTTCAGACGACCGCTACAACTCACTCGATGAGGTGACCCAAGCGCTGCGCACAGCTGGTCTCGAGAGCTGCAACCTCATCATCGGCGTTGACTTTACCAAAAGCAACCTCACCCAGGTAAAATAACTTCACGCCTGGTCCATTATGGGCCAGTTTGTGAAGCTGATCAATCCTCTGGGATTGCCTTTGTTTTCATTTTGTGGCCACTCACCTTTCGCACTGCAGGGGGCTGGGACATTCCATGGGTTGAGCCTACACCACATGGATCAAAGACGCGAGAATCCGTATCAAACAGTATGTACAAGCACAAAGCAGCCTAATATTGCATCTAGCCCTGCTGACCACAATCGTCCCTTGGCTCTGTCTCTGGGCCATGTAGGCCATTCGCGTGCTGGGGTCGACGCTGGCCAGTTTCGACGACGACAACTTGATCCCAGCATACGGATTCGGGGACATTACCACGCGAGATCTGAGCTGCTTCAGCTTCTTTCCAGATCGAGCCTGCGAAGGGTTTGGCGAGGTCGGAATCTAGTTGTGCATGGAGCCCTCGGCCTGTTGGCAGTGGTGTCTGCTCAAGCTCGTGCTGACGGCTACCTTGAATGTTCCCAGGTCCTGACGCGATACTCGGAGCTGGTGCATTCGGTCCGGCTCAGTGGGCCGACCAACTTTGCCCCCATCATTGGCGAGGCCATTCGGATTGTCAAGCAGACAAGGGGGTTTCACATTCTGGTCATCATCGCTGATGGTCAAGTCATCTCTAAACGTCAAACCATCGACGGTACGAAGTTTATAGGGGCGAGGGCGAGCATCTCTGAAAAGATGCAAGGGTTGTGCACTCTTGGACCATCATCTGCGCCGCGTTCTCACTGCTCGCGCCTCTGCTGCGCGACTGTCTCGTGTGCCTTAGCCATCGTCGAAGCCAGCAATTATCCTCTATCCATCCTCTTGTTCGTCAAGCGCACCTTCTCCTGGCGTGGCTCGATGGGTGTTCTACTGCCTGCAATACTCACCATGGTTGTGGTGGCGGTGTTTGGTGCGGCAGGGTTGGGGTAGGCGATGGTCCTTGGGACGATATGCAGCGATTTGATGATGAACTACCAGAGCGCCGTTTTGACAACTTTCAGTTTGTGAATTTTCACAAGGTAATTCGGGTTCGGCCTGCACGCGAATGATTCAAGGCGAGTGCTTGCTTATCTACCTCCGTGTTGTGGTTGCTTGGTAGGTCATGACGCAGTCGCGGCATCCAGACGTGGCCTTTGCTCTGGCGGCATTGATGGAGATACCGCAACAGTTCCAGGCCATACGTGACCTTGAGCTCATTTAAATTTTTTTAATCTGGCAGACCCATCACAGCAACATTTGTTGTGGTCGTTGTCCCGATCGCTTTGATGAGCTTGTGCTGATTCATGTAATGGCTGTCCATGTTTATATGTTAATGTCAGTTTGGATCAATTGATTGCAAAAGAAGTAGAGGGTCGGGACCTGGCCGCGCGGCTCAGCAATGGGTGTGTGTGAGAGAGAGAGAGAGAGAGAGAGAGAGAGAAAGAGAGAAGAGAGCTCAATTGGTTGAAAAGAAGATGAGAAGAGGTCATGACCCTAGGGGATCATATGGCGAAAGAAAGAGAGAGGAAGAGAGGGAAAAGGGAGAAAGTGACAAGCGCTGACAGCGGCCATCTCGGGATGGGTGGGCCGCAGCACAATGTCTTGGGACTCAAAAAAAAGGTACGACATAAGGAACAAAAAAAATTGCTCTTCAAGAGCCAAAAACCATGCTTTCAAAGCACCGGCAACGACCTGAGTCGTTTTGGGTTCCCGTTATGCACTCCTCAAAGGCGTGGTGCGGGCTGGATGGGGCCAGTTAATTCAAGACTTAAAGAAGACGATGCGTGTACAGCGGCGCTCACGGAGCTCAAAGACAGCTTGGAATTCTCCTCAATGTCCATGCAGGGGCAGTCACAATGTGGCTAGCTGTAGAAATGAATGGTCGGCGACGGCGGGGCGCTGGCGCAGGTGAGCTTGTTGGCCAGGGCGGAGGTGAGGGGAGAGATGTCGTCCTCTTCAAACCAACACGGGGTGCGTGTCTTGCTGAGGGTATGGTCGGGGCATGGATGAGGATTGGTCATGCGTCGGCGACGTGGTCGATGGGCAACGCTGGCAGAGTTGGAGGCGTGGCGCTCCAAGGCATGTGCTGCGCCATGGCTGCGAGCACGAGGTCGATTCTTGTAGGCGCGGGGCAAGGCGGACAAGACGAGGTGGTTCGAGGATCCGAGTCCGGGAGAGCTGCTCGCTGCACGGCGGGCTGGGCGCCAGCCCGGAATGCGGCGTGAATCGGGCGAGGTCGGGCACGAGGTGACGGGCGCGGCCAGCCGGGGACTCATGTTCACGGGGCTCAGCGTCGAGTCTGTCCAGGCACCCCACACAAGTGATAAAAAAAAACCAGCCAAAGCCAGGGGTGAGTCTGATGCGCACGTCAAGAGAAATGCGAGGGTGTCTTGACGACTTGGGAAATGCAGGGAGAAATGCAGGAGACCTACCACGCTGCATTTGGCCTGGACTGGAGGGGCAGGATCGCGGCCCGGAGAGCAAAGGGGAGGCGGTGGTGACAGCGAGAGCGAAGCGCTTGGGTCGTGGCTGTTCGGACTGTGCTAGCTGTGGGTTTTGAGCATCATCCAAGTCTTCGTCCATGAAGCTAGCTGGCGAGAGGATGCGCTCGCAAGAGAAACGCTTGCCGGTTGGCAGCGGGGATTCTTGTTGGAGGCGATGAAAATGATGACCGTGGTGGACGTTGGAGGGTTGCTCGTGTCGATGGGGCTGGGCATAATCCAAGCGCTGGGTGGCCGGGATGACGGGAGTGGGTCGGAAATACAGGTTGTCGTCAAAGGGGGGCGCTGCCAAGAGGATGGGCGGTCGCGCGGCAATCATGCTCGTCATGTTGACGGAGGCAGCTGGCAATGTGGGCCCGAAAGAAAAGCAAAAGGCTGGGCAGCCGCGGGGAAGGGCGGGGAAATGACGAGAAGAAAAAGCGCACACCCCTGCCTTTATCGTCAAACCACGGCGATGTCAAGGGCGAGGAGGAAAGGCAGCAGTCGCGTCGTCGTGTCGAGCGAGCGAGTGCGCGCGTGTCAAGCGAAAGGGTTGAAGATCTCAAAACGAGCAAGCTCCCAAATGCCAAAGCAGGTGGCTTTGGAGACGCTGTTTGGAGCGTCGCAAAGCAAGGATGGCGAGGGTGGGATAAGACGCAATCGCAATCGAGATCCCAAAGACGGTGTGGATGGTCTATCAGCGGCGCTCTTATGTAGCCGGGGTTGACTGGCTCCCAATGCGATCGAGATCGGCTGGCTGCCGTTTTGTTCCACACAAGAGAGAGAGAGACAGAGAGAGTGAGAGAAAATGTGAGAGAGAAGCAGAAGCAGAAAAGAGAGAGAGAGAGAGCTTTTGAGAGAGTTTTTGAGAGAGAGAGAGAGAGTTTGAGAGAGTTTGAGAGAGAGTTTGAGGGAGAGAAAGAGTTTGAGAAAGAGAGAGAGAGAGAGAGTTTGAGAGAGAGAGAGAGAGAGAGAGTTTGAGAGAGAGAAGAGAGGGGCGGAATGATAAGGAAAAAAAAAAGCGCGCTGAGATGAAAACAAAGGCTCTGGGCTGTCGAGGCATTGGCGGCCGACGGTGTGGATCGTGGCGCAGGGTTGCCATCAGACTCTTTTAAGAGAGGGAGAGAGGAGAAAGAGGGAGAGATAACCGTTTCCTCCTACTCGCTGCCCTTTTTGGGCCCCGTACTTGCGACTGCCGATCGGTGCTTTTGTTACGCAAACACCTTGCTCTTGCACACCTTCCACGTCAAGAGCACTTTTCAAAGATTTTGGTCCTTATGATGACGGCGTCGCTCGTATTGGCCAGCGAGGCGTGGGGCGTCGGCTTGATGCCCGAGCCGCACGCTCCATGCGTGCAGGTGGTGCTGCTCTGCGCCTCTACCCCGCTTGCAACGGCCCCTTTTACCCGCGCCGCATCGCGCAGCGCTGCCATTTCACCTTCGTTCTTCAATCTCCTGCTTCACTCTTTGAGTTGCGCATGCACCCCCGCCCTTACTGCAGCTGCATCTGCATTGTTTCCCCTCAGTTGCCGCTTCACCCCCAAACTGAATACTGTGGTATATATCACACTTTGTATTTGATAGAGTGTACCCTAAGCTACACTATGTCATTTAATTGTCAGCATTTGCTGGTGGGAGATTCTTGTCCGAGATTCTTGTCCGCAGTTTCACACCTCTGCAAAACACAGAAAACAACAACAACAACAACAACAGCCAGAAGAACAACAAAACAGGACGATAACAGGACAAAGAAGGTGTGGGTCCATCTTGACACTGTAGGCATTATGGAGAGCGATGTTGCATGCTGTTGGTGATGGGGAACGGGGGGAAACTTTGTTGCTGCATGCGGGCGGGCACAAGGCGAACCACACCACCGCATGGTCTGATGGCTTTTGAGAATCCAGAACAATCAATTGCCCAGATATAAAAGAATGACTTGAAATTAGCAAAAAAACACTTGCGCGCGCGCACCGGGGCCTGTTGGTATTCACACTCGTTTCCGCAACTTCAATCAGGCCCATCCAGAGACGATAGCACGGCAGATTACTCGGGTTGCTCGAGGTTGGAGCGGCGGTAAGCTTCATAGTGTACGCTTGCCGTCGCATCGATCAGGTCCTGCAGATGCGTTCTGTTTTGCACATCAACGACCCCGCCCACGTGAGCCCTGAAATTGAGCCTGTTTTGATAACGTCTACGGCCAGGCTTGGCCGAGGAAAGGCGAGGACGGCTGGCTAGCGGCAAGGCGCACTTACACAAAAAGCATTTCCTTCAAGGCGGCAGAGTCACAGTGGCTACGATCGTCAACTACATGTTCAGCGGTCCGGCATATTTGGCATTGTCAAACACATGAGCCATACCAGGTGCAAAACAGCGAGCGCATTAAAACTCTCCAGGCCTCCCTTGAGGCATCTCTTCCTGCCTTGACCTAGCACGCACCATTGACCATGCCGTAGCGAGTCTTGCGGTAGCGAACGGTTTGGCCGTCAATCTGGGCTTCGTGGTTGTGGCCAACAACGGCAAAGGGCATGACCTCCTTCACCTCCAGCATGCGCAACATGTCCTCCTCCTCATCGCCTTCGCGCGGCTGCGGGAAGGGCTGGATGCCAAACGTCTCCATGTCCTCGCGCACCTGCACCCATCAACCCCGTGGTCAGAACATTATCGTCAGCATCATCTTCAGCTGCCCATTCTTGCCCTCAGTCTCTGCTCGCATGAAATCCAAGAAACAAACACGAGAACAAGACACGCCAGACAAAACCAATCAGCATGGTCAACGTACGCGCTCCTTGAAAGCGTGCAGTTCCTCCTTGGTCAGTGTGTCGGCCTTGCCAATCACTGGCACAACGTTGACCAGTTTCTAGTACAGAGGCAAGCCCACAGCACTGTCTCCATGACTCATTCCATCAAGCGCTGCAAGGTGCACCTGCCACTACGGGGTTTGACAGTGGGCAGCGCCAAGCTCGGCATACCTGGAGCTCAAGCATGGCCTTGACGTCCAAGGGCGACAGGCTGCGATGGCAAAACCCCAACGTGAAGAGTAAGGTGAGGCCAAGCACCGAGCAGCGAGGAACAAACCCTATAGTGACAGCCATGCAATGAGACGGGGTCCAAGCCGAGCAAGCACAGACCTGTGTCCAGTTGGTGGCAAAAAGTAGAGGCAGGCGTGTATCCTGCTATCCTCAATACGCGCACGGTTGACCGCCAGCTATTGCATCAAGCATCAAAGACCAGCTGCGGGTCAGAAAGGTCGACTCGACGAGTGTACCAATAAACGCGAAAAAAAAAAAAAAAAAAAAAAAAAAAAAAAAAAAAAAAAAAAAAAAAGGGAACAAGGAGAAAGAGCAAAAGAGCCAAGTGCAGGCCTCACCTCAGCATCGAGATAATGCGAGTGTTGCTCTTCAATGTATTGCACGATGGGTTCCCAGCTGGATGCACCGACACGTTGCCACGGTGGTGAGTGGAAGGCCAGCGTAGGAGCTCACGGGACCCAGGTGTGCAAACAGAGACATACCATTCCGAGTTGTCGACCAGGTCCCCAAACCCCGGCGTGTCGGTGATGTTGAGCTTCATGCGCACGTTGGCTTCTTGCAAAACTGTGGGTGCACAAAGAGGCCAGGATGCGACGCTACACGTGAGGCTACCAAGCCAGCAAATAAATTGCCAAGGGGCTGGATCTTGGCGAACGGGCCCCAGGCCAGTGTGCTATGGGCGTACCGTGGGTGACGGTGTGGATCTCAACCGTCTGAGGTAGGGGTTCGTGATCACCATTTGGCGCACAGCTTCGACGGCTCACTTGGCCCTGAATGAACAAAGGTCCGCGTGTGAGGGGCAGCTTACATTCGGCACATCGCCTGGCGTGGCCCGCAATGTTCTTCTACAAAGGCTTTGCAAGCGCCTCGTCCAGACACCTACCCGAAAGAGGGTGTCGACAAGGGTAGACTTGCCCAGACCCGTCTCACCAACCACCATCACATTGAAGGTGAAGCTGTTGTTGATCAAATAAGTGAGGTGCGGCTCGGGCCCAAAATCTCTTCGAGGGGAGAAGGAAGGAGAGCATGATGGCTCACCCTTGTTTGAGCAGGCGGCGCTGCAGCTGGTCACCGATGCTGTGAAAGCCGACCGTGCCTGTACGTGGAGAGAGCTAGGGTTGAGTGGGCGGCAGGGACTGGAGGCGTGTGCCATCGAAAGTGCGGATCCAGCTCGTGCATGATCACCGCTCGACCTGCCCACGCCTGGTTTGCATCACTCAATCTCCTCCCGGCTCTCTCATTCCCTCACCTTGGGCCCCGGTGGTCAGGAGTCCCCAACGGTTGGTGGTGAGGAGAATGTTGCGGACGACTGTCGTAAACTGCTCAAAGGCCAAAGCTTCGGTACCTATTAGCCAAGAGCGCGGTTGAGCTGTGGCGTCGGGGACGTCTCAACCCGAGGAGAAAGCTGCTCGCGAGGCTTTGGCATGTCATTGCTTTGCGTTGAGCCGGTGGTGAGCGTTCTTTGGTCAGCACGCGGCTGTCTCAGACTCACCCTTTGTCAGGGTCACAATCATGTCCAGCTGGGGTTCAGAGAGTGGGTGCTGGAGAATATCTTCGAGCAAGGGGTCCAGCTGCTCAATGGGCAAGGTCGTGCCATCGCCGACAATGTGGGCAAAGTGATTTGATAGCACTACAGGCCGTAGCACCCAGCCATGCCATGGCGCAAGGCGGCGTAGCGCACGGCTCGAGTGGTGAGATTGGTGAAGCCAGCCCATCTTGGGAGCGGAAAGGCAGAGGAGCTGCATTTACAGACCTTGGAGCTGGCGCGCCGTGAAGGAGATGTCACGATCGCTGACATAGCTATTAGAGATGGCAAGGCGGTTCTGGCTTGGGCCGCGGTCCGGGATGGACTTGGACTGCTGCTCATCATGACCGTCCACCTCGAGATAGTCTGCCATCTTGGCGAATGGTTCTGTGTGTCCAAGGGCAAAGGCTGGAGAGGGGCCGAACGGTGCCTGTAGCCGTTCTTTTGCTATTCCAAGG